ACAGCCCTGGGGACACATGGCCATGGGGACATGCAGCCATGGGGACACCTGGCCATGGGGACAGACCTAAGGACACCCAGCCATGGGGACACCCAGCCCTAAGGACACCCAGCCATGGGGACAGCCCTAAGGACACCCAGCCCTAAGGACACGGGGCCATGGGGACAACCTGCCATAGGGACACCTGGTCATGGGGACAACCCTAAGGACACCCAGCTATGGGGACACCCAGCCATGGGGGGCAGCCCTAAGGACACCCAGCCATGGGGACACCCAGCCATAGGGACACCCAGCCACGGGGACAGACCTAAGGACACCCAGCCATGGGGACACCCAGCCATGGGGACACCCAGCCATGGGGACAGCCCTAAGGACACCCAGCCCTAAGGACACGGGGCCATAGGGACTCTTGGCCATGGGGACAACCCTAAAGACACCCAGCCCTAAGGACACGCAGCCATGGGGACACCCAGCCATAGGGACACCCAGCCATGGGGACATCCAGCCATGGGGACACCCAGCCATAGGGACACCCAGCCATGGGGACACCCAGCCATGGGGACACCCAGCCATGGGGACACCCGGCCATGGGGGCAGCCCTAAGGACACCCAGTTATAGGGACACCCAGCCATGGGGACACCTGGCCATGGGGACACTCAGCCATAGGGACAGCCCTAAAGACACCCAGCCATGGGGACAACCCTAAGGACACCCAGCCCTAAGGACACGGGGCCATAGGGACACCCGGCCATAGGGACCACCATCCCCCCCGGCCCGGCCCCCCCTCTCACCTCTGCCTCTTCCTGGGCAGGCTGTTGTTCTTGATGAGCAGCGCCTTGATGTGCTCGGCCAGCAGGTCGTCGTGCTTCAGCCCCCAGTGCCGCAGGATGCTGGTGGTGAACTGATCGTCGGGGTGGCACGGGCGGCTCAGCACCATCTTCACCATCTCCTCGCTGGGCCTGCGGGGGGGCAGCGGGGGGGCAGCGGGGGGGCAGCGGTGGGGCAGCGGTGGGGCAGGGGGGCCGGGCGCCCCGCTGCAGCCCCATGGTGCTGCGGTGCTGTGGGTCGCGGTGCTGGGGCCGGGCGGCACTCACTTCTCTCGGCGCAGCTGCAGCAGCAAACAGGAGAGAGCCTCGGGGTGCTCTGCAACGAGAGGGCAGCTCAGCGGCGGGCAGCGGCGTGCTGGGCAGCACACAGCAATGCACGGCACCAGGAGCAATGCAGAGCAATGCAGAGCACTGCAGAGCAATGCAGAGCACCATGCAGCAATGCAGAGCAATGCAGAGCACTGCAGAGCAATGCACGGCACCATGCGGCACTGCAGAGCAATGCAGAGCAATGCAGAGCAATGCAGAGCAATGCACGACACCATGCAGCACTGCGGAGCAATGCAGAGCAATGCACAGCACTGCACAGCACTATGCAGCACTGCAGAGCACTGCAGAGCGCCAGGCAGCAATGCAGACCAATGCAGAGCGCTACACAGCACCATGCAGCACTGCACACCATGGCACGCAGCACTGTTCCATGCAGCACCATGCAGCACTACAGAGCACTGCAGAGCAATGCACAGCACCATGCAGCAATGCAGAGCAACGCAGAGCACCATGCAGCACAGCACCATTCCATGCAGCACCATTCCATGCAGCACAGCACCTTTCCATGCAGCACAGCACCATGCAGCACAGCACCATGCAGCACCTTTCCATGCAGCACAGCACCTTTCCATGCAGCACAGCACCTTTCCATGCAGCACCTTTCCATGCAGCACAGCACCATTCCATGCAGCACAGCACCATGCAGCACCTTTCCATGCAGCACAGCACCACGCAGCACAGCACCTTTCCATGCAGCACAGCACCATGCAGCACCTTTCCATGCAGCACAGCACCTTTCCATGCAGCACAGCACCTTTCCATGCAGCACAGCACCTTTCCATGCAGCACCTTTCCATGCAGCACAGCACCTTTCCATGCAGCACAGCACCTTTCCATGCAGCACAGCACCATGCAGCACAGCACCATTCCATGCAGCACAGCACCATTCCATGCAGCACAGCACCATGCAGCACCTTTCCATGCAGCACAGCACCACGCAGCACAGCACCTTTCCATGCAGCACAGCACCATGCAGCACCTTTCCATGCAGCACAGCACCGTGCAGCACGGCTCCACGCTCACCTTTGTACTTGAGGTGCTGCAGGATGGGGATGATGGCCTCCAAGGGGATGCTGTGCGCCAGGAAGAGCTGCCACGTGCAGTACTGCTCAAAGGTCTCCCAATCCAGGCTCTGAACTGAGGGGGGGGACACACAAACGAGCCGCTCATTAACGAGCTCAGGTTCGTCTTTGGAACCGCAAAGCCGGGTCGGAGCTGTGCCACAACGGGTGCCAAGGTGGGGGGCGCAGAGATTGGGGGCTGAAGGCTCTGCAAACCCCCAGGGATGGATGGGGAGGGGGGGTTGGGGGGGGCGCAGCACTCACTGAGGATGTTGAGCACGGAATCCTTGCGGAACATGACGAGGTTCCCCATCATCACGTGGCAAACCAACTCCTGCAGCTGCAGGGAGAGCATGGGGTCAGCATCAGAGCTGCATGCGGAGCAGCTCGGGATCCAGGAGGGAGCCCAGCACCCTGTGAGCTGCAGGTGGCTGCAAATTGGGGGCTGGGACCCCCAGGGGGGGATTGG